TGTTGTTGTTGTTGTTGTTGTTGTTAAGAGCATTGAGTCGGTTCCAACTCATAGTGACCCTGTATAGGGTTTCCAAAGAGTGGTTGGTGGATTTGAACTACTGGTCTGGTGGTTCAAACCAACCTTGCCGTCAGTGTTTATCCTACAGCATCACAACAGAACTGCATTATGCATATTGTATGAGACCACTGTTGTGAAAAGTTTAAAAAATGTTTTCTTGATAAAAGAAGCATTCCATAATGGTTACCAGGAGTGGTTAGGGAAAATTATTCTTAGAGTAAAAGGTAGACACACGTTAACACAGGGATGGAACAGGCAATATACAACAAGAGGGAGGCTGGCAGAGGAAAGAACAAGGGAGCGTGAGACATAGGGAGGAATGCAAGAATCAAAGTGACTAGTGGTACATACTGCTAATTGATGGGACACAGAGGGGATGAAAATCGTTGCAATGAAGCAAAGCATATGATTTGCTGAATGTAAAACTGATGGTCTGCTCTATAAACCTTCACTAAATTCACAATAAGTGTTTTAAAAATTTGGCAGTGCTATTTAGATCACAAACGTTCTTGAAATTATAATAGTTCATGAAATCTCAATCTCTATGAATCACTGTTATATGGAAGTTAAAAAACCATAAAGAAAAGAAAAAAAACTATCTGTAAAATTATTAAAACATTTGAAGGAAAATGCTTTAAAATCTCATTCCCTATAGTTCACCAAATTAAATTCCAGATATTTTTTCCTACCCCTATATATTTAAAAACCAAGTCATTGAAAAAGAGGAAACAACTAAGCACAATGATAGACAAGCACCATGTAGGCTTAGAAGGGTAAAAAGAAATCACTTGTTTTCTGTATTAGTGCTTTATGAAATGAGGATGATTACATTGTTTGCCAGACTTGATTCTGGCAAATGAGGCTTTTCAAGTAAAAGTGGACCAGCCATGCCAGATCTCTTCAGTAGGTGAGCCTTGCTCAGACTGCAATGCCACACTATCTCTGAAAGTTGTAATATTGTGTCCAGGGCCATAGTAACCCTTTCTAGACAGTGAGTTTTTAGAGGAATTGGTCCAGGCATGGCCTACAGAATGTCAAGTTATTGTTGAAATCTCAGACATCCCAAGAACCATAAGAAAAATACTGAGTGGGCCGACCCTTGAACTGGTCTAATATAGTCTCAGAGCTAGAAATTGAGAGAACAAGTTATTAACATAACTATTAGGGCAGCACTCACGTGGTGACGGTGTTGAAGCCACCAGCCTTCAATTTCAGCAGGCGGTCCTTCCAGTACTCCCTGGGCACCCGGAAGTAGTGTATAGTGCCTGCTACAATCAGGAATGGAAAGCCCTCTAGCGTGAAGTTTGAACCATTAATTTTCAGTCCCCCAGTGCGTTTCTTCAAATTTGAGGGGGTCAGGTGAGTTTGATTAATCCTACAAGAGCAAAGGAGGTACATGAAATCCTAGAGGTATTACCCAAGAGGTGTGCAGGATGGGCAACCCAGAAAGGCCCTTCCTTCAGGGACTCTAGGAATACCTCCCGTGGAAGAAAAATGTTCTCTGACCCTCTTCCCACAAACATACCTAGGCGGGAGGTTGTCTCTGAGCTGAGCCATCACTGACAAGGCTGAAGAAAGGCACAGGATGCACTCAGGTCTCACCAGGAAGGCCCACATGCTAGCAGATAGGACAGAATAAATGTCAGTGAGTGGTGGACCAGAGAGGAAGAAAGAAGCAGGGAGTTAGAGAAGCTCTGGTCTTTAAGAATGGCCTCATTTGGAAAGCAGACTTCTCGGTAAGTTATGTATGACACAGTCTGTGAATCAACTAAAGCTATGACAGACAACACAGCAAGACCAGGCCCTCACAGCTCTCTGAGAGAGAGCCAGAGGGAGCATAGCTGCAAAGAAAAGCCACCAAGTAAGTAGCTTTCAGATATCAGTTACTTTTTGGAGAAGAGGAAGCCTCAGTCAAAGAACAGCTTTGCAAAACAGAGTATAACCTCTAGAGAATTTGCCCTGACACATTCAATTCCTAAGGAATGGATTGTAATCATTTGCTACTTAGTAGAAGACACTGAGGAGGTTGTGGGAGAAATCCTCTCTAATGGAGTCTCCATTTTATCTCCAGACTTTGTTCCACTTCGTTGCTACTGTAGGACTCATCTCATTAATTCCCGGAACACACCTTATAGTTTGTGCAGCCCAGGATTTTCTTCATGCTGCACCTTGGGAACAAACCTTTTTCCTTTATGCATCAAAATTTCTATGAGAGATTATTTTTTAAAAAAAGAAAAAAGCAAGTTTTCAAGAGCATGGGACTAATTAAAAGAATATTGGAACATACCGGATCCTTAAGTCACTCATTAATATGACAATATGTATATATGATGTTCTGTGAAAACAGACCTATGCATCAGGGCATACGATAAATAGGGAAAGATGTTTTTTTAAAAGCAAAACAAAACACTTCCATGACTCTCTAGGGGACTTTGTTGTTGTTGGGTACCATAAAGTCGGTACCGACTCATAGAGACCCTATGGGCAACAGAACGAAACACTGCCCAGTCCGGGGCCAACCTCACAATCATTGCCATGCTTGAGCCCACTGATGCTGTCACTTTGCCAATCCATCTTGCTGGGAGTCTTCCTCTTTTTCTCTGACCCTTCACCTTACCAAACATGATATCCTTCTCCATTTATTAAAATAACTCCTGACAATATGTCCGAAGTATGAGAAATGAAGTTTGCCCATTCTGGCCTTCAAGGAGCACTCTGGCTGCACTTCTTCCAACACAGATCTGTTGGTTCTTTTGACAGCCCATGCATGGCACTTTCATTATTCTCCTCCAACATCAGAACTCAAACGCATCAATTCTTCTACCGTCTTCCTTATTCACTGTCCAGCTTTCGCATGCATATAAGGTTATTGAAAATATCATGGCTTAGGTCAGGAGCACCTTAGTCCTCAAGCTGACATTTTTGCTCTTCAACAATTTAAAAAGGTCTTGTGCCTAACAAGGGTTTGCCAAATGCAATATATGTCATTTTATTTCTTGACTGCTGCCTACATGAGTGTTGATGGTTGATCCAAGAAGAATGAAGTCCTTGAAAATTTCAATCTTTTCTCTGTTGATAAGAATGTTGTTTATTGGTCCAGTGGTGAGGATTTTTGTTTTCTTTACATTGAGATGTAATCCATATCAAAGGCCGTGGTCTTTGATCTTCATCAGTAAGTATTTTAAGTCCTCTTCACTTTCAGCAAGCAAGGTTGTATCATCTGCATATCGCAGGTTGTTAATGAGTCTTCCTCCAATCCTGATGTCACGTTTTTTCTTCATATAACCCAGTTTCTCAGATTCAGCCAGAAGGCTGTGTGGAATTGGAACAGGAAAAATATTCTTCTGTTTATGTCTATGCTCCCCATCCCCATCCCTACACCCACCCCCTGAATACAAGATAGTGCTTGAACCATAGTAGGGGCACGGTAACATTTTGGAACAAATTAATGAATTGACAGAATCACTAAAACATCTGTCACTTCCATCTGCTTAATAAATACTGCCTTAAGAGATTAGGAAAATAAGAGGAAAAGCAGAATGGGAGCAGGGACTTAAGCAAAGCAGAGAATGGGGAGTCAATCTATTTAGTGAATGAAGAATAAGGTACAGAGTCCTGGTGTGGCGTTGTGGATAGACCACTGGACCACAAAGTCGGTTTGAACCACAAAGTTGTCGGTTCAAACTCACCAGCGGCTCCTTGGAAACTATACAGGATCGCTTTGAATCTGAACCAACTCGACAGCGCATAAAAACAACAATGTTGTTGTTGTTGTTGTTAAGTACCCCCCTGGAGTGGGCTCCGACTCATAGTGACCCTGCACAGGGTTTCCAAGGCTGTAAATCTTTACGGGAGCAGAATCTTTACGGGAGCCTCATTTTTCTCCCGCGGAACCGCTGGTAGTTTCGAACTGCTGACACTGAGATTAGCAGCGCGACTCGTAACCACTACACTTCAATTCACTGCGGTCTACCTAAGAATCCTAAGGAAAGAACTAGTTCAGAAAACGTTCAAGCTGGGATTCTCAGGGAGAAAATAGAAGGTCACGAGGTGGAACCTCCAGGGGAAACTTCGGAAGCACCCTGACGACAATTACCCAGAATGAACTGACCTCACAAAAAACTAGAAGGCTTTGGAGCGGGCAGGTGGGGTTGGAGGAGCGAGAGAGAACTGTGAGAGGTGCTAAAGAGTCCCAGGACCATGGCAGGGATTCAGGCCCAGGAGAACGCCGACTAGCACCTCTTACCTCGTTCGGGCACCGGACCACAGCACACGCAGCGCTTCAGCGTCTTGAAAGCTGCTTCGACTGCGCACGCAAGGCGCCGGCTGGCATTGCGGTCCCCGAGCTCCACCCCTTGTGGTCCTAGCACCCGCGACCCAGGCGCCAAGTCTCAGCCAGGAAGCGTGGGACCCGAGTGCCAAGGCGCACAGCAGCGAACCCTGGGGATTCCTTCGCAGGCTGACCGACTTCACTGCCCCAGGAACCCGGAGCTTGACTTTCTGAGTGACTCCAGGAAGTTTAGACCCCACTGTAAGTTTGGAGTGGAGCCCAAAACATGGTCCCCACCATGAAAGGCCAAATTTATTAGTCATGCAGATGCTTGGTGTCTCCTTGAGGTAAGCGTTGGACTTCGAACCCCTAAATCAGCAGTTCGAATCCACCAGCCGCTCAGCAGGAGACAGATAAGGCATTTTGCTACCTAAAGACGTGCGGCCTCGGAAACCCCACATGAGACCACTAAGACAATTTATTCCATGGCAGTGGTGGTAGTGGTGTGTTCGGAGAGCGTCACCAGCACATCTCCGCGGCAAAAACTCTTGAGGGGCGTTAATCTGGGTCTACAGTGACTCGGAGCACTCTCAGGGCCCTGCTGTCACTCCTCTTTCTTCTTGTCGGGGACCCTCCCCCTGCCAGCGCAGCTGGGCTCCCGCGCTACCCGCCCCGAGCCTGCTCTAGCCCGCGTCCAGGGCAGGGGGCCCGCGCTCCAGCTTAAGCCATCCGGGGCCGCCTCTCCACATCTCTCGCAACCTTGTTCCGAGCGACCTTAACGTTGATTCACACCCCGAGCGTCTGTGCTGGAGGCACCGACGATAGAAAAGGAATACTATATATCCTTGTCCCTCAAAAACTTACCCCCTGAAGTTTCTTTTCCAGAACTCTAAAGCAAGTAATGTGACAGCCTAGCGCAGTGGTTCCCAAAACGTGTTCCACACAAGCACAGGTCAAAATAATTAGACAGGAGATGCAAAGTTGTGTTCTAGACTGACAGCGTCTGGGACTCCGGTGGAGTTGGCGTTCTGCTTTAACAGGCGATTGTGCACGCTGAAATTTGCGCACCACTAGTCTGGGTCTTTGTGTTCTTTGCCTGAGGGCTCTAGGGGAAGGGGAGAGATGAGCAGGGGAGGAGTGAACTTCTTCAAAGCTATAGCAGGCATGTCATTGTAGTAGCTCTTCTTGCTAACTACCCAGTCAGGATGGACTATTGCAGACTCCCTCATAATGAGACAGCTGGCTTCATTTCAAATTCTGACCGTTGATTGATAAAAGCCAGATACAGGGCAAGGGCAATGAAACCTCCACTTTACTGACACACACACACCACCATAATTACAAATAATTTTATTTTTTTAAGTATTTACTAGAATTCTAGTAAATTTTCAAAAGTTAAAGTAACATGTTGTTAAGTGCCCTCAAGTCAATTCTGACTCACAGCGACCCTGGATAGGGTTTCTGAGGCGTGGCTGATGAGTTTGAACCGCCTACCTTGCAATCCAGTTCTTACTCTACAGCGCCACCCCAGGACTCTATTAAAGTAACATAGCTAGATTTGAATAATTTTTAACATTTGTTATTTATAATTTGCACTTTTTAAAATATTAACACAATTTGCATTGTCTCCATTCCATAGTTCCATTTTTCTCTGCTTTAAGTGTTTTTCTTGTGGATTTTTTTGTATATCCTTTGATATATATGTGTTTCTGCTAAACATATGTTGCTGTCTGTATGCATATTTATATTTTAGTAATCATTTAAATTATATTAATTGCAGATCTTAGTCCAGTCTTGCTTTTAGAGATCTGAACATGTTGTTATACCAGTGATGCTGTACAGCGATGCTACTGTAGGACTCTACCCCTCAAAGGTTACAACACCCTGATTTCAGGTTTCTAGTCTCTGTGGCACTAAAAGGATCTAGGACTCCATGATGCCTTTGTTTTCTTCTACTTTATAGTCAGCTGGGCTTTTTCATTTAAACCTTTGCCTCATCAAGAATTTATTTTGATGAATTTGCAATACTGGTGAGTCTGTTAATTTTTTCCCCCAAAAAACTGGCAGATTACTCCCAAATTTCATTATTTTCTTCATTAATTTTAAAATCAATCTTTAACATATATCAAATTTGCATAATGTGGATAGGTCAGAAAGCATCGCTACTAGGGTTCCAGTTCATACATGCCATGCATATTTCTAACAAAATGTGTTTAAACATGTCTCTGCAATGAGTGGATGGCTGCAGACAAGTTCTCTCACTAATACATTTGTCTTACTCTTGTTAGGATGTCTTAAAAAAGAGGGGGGACAGTTTTAAGGTAAGGACTAATATCCAATTTTTAAC